TGGGTGTATTCAGTTGTGATCACACAGAAACATAGACAGAGCCCAATGTTGGGTGTATTCAGTAGTGGTCACACAGACAGAGCCCAATGTTGGGTGTATTCAGTAGTGATCACACAGAAACATAGACAGACCCCAATGTTGGGTGTATTCAGTAGTGATCACACAGAAACACAGACAGAGCCCAATGTTGGGTGTATTCAGTAGTGGTCACACAGAAACACAGACAGAGTCCAATGTTGGTTGTATTCAGTAGTGGTCACACAGAAACACAGACAGAGCCCAATGTTGGGTGTATTCAGTAGTGGTCACATAGAAACACAGACAGAGCCCAATGTTGGGTGTATTCAGTAGAGGTCACACAGAGACAGAGCCCAATGTTGGGTGTATTCAGTAGTGATCACACAGAAACACAGACAGAGCCCAATGTTGGGTGTATTCAGTAGTGGTCACACAGAAACACAGAGCCCAATGTTGGGTGTATTCAGTAGTGATCACACAGAAACACAGACAGAGCCCAATGTTGGGTGTATTCAGTAGTGATCACACAGAAACATAGACAGAGCCCAATATTGGGTGTATTCAGTAGTGATCACACAGAAACACAGACAGAGCCCAATGTTGGGTGTATTCAGTAGTGGTCACACAGAAACACAGACAGAGCCCAATGTTGGGTGTATTCAGTAGTGATCACACAGAAACATAGACAGAGCCCAATGTTGGGTGTATTCAGTAGTGGTCACACAGAAACACAGACAGAGCCCAATGTTGGGTGTATTCAGTAGTGATCACACAGAAACATAGACAGAGCCCAATGTTGGGTGTATTCAGTAGTGGTCACACAGAAACATAGACAGAGCCCAATATTGGGTTATGTTAAGGTATTTACAATATCATGTTAATTAATGACCTCTATAGTATTTATTTGTATGCTTATTTTTTTTAATATTTTTATCAAAAATGACAGCACAAGGGGCTTTTGAAGACAACCATGATTGTACCGTTAAAGTCCTATTATAAATCGTGGTTTATATTACAATGTATCAATTTAAAAATTGGGATCAAAAGCTCAAGTTCGGGGTGCGGTTTCTATTACGTACATATTGCAATCACTAAATGGGCGTGGTCATTTTTTGTCCACAACACATGCACAAAACAAACAATACACCGTACAATCTCTTGAATAGGTGTCGGGGAAGAGTGAAAGGCCTTATTTGGGTTCTAAAATAGGCGTTACGAAATGTTGAAAAATTACAGTCAATCAAAAAAAAATTCAACATGATACAAAAAATACTCGGTATTTTTAATGTAATATGCATTTATTTTTTTAATTTTCTTGGTAACGAAAAGTATATTCTAACAGAAGTTTCAAATAAAAACACGAATGCACTGCTTAGTAGCAAATGATCACATAACGGTAGCTCGATCCGGCCATGCTGCGGGTCACAAGTGAATAACTTACTTGTTTTCGAAGTGTTGATATTCGTGATTATTATTTAGTAGTGATTACAATAACGCACGAAAAATAAATTCGTTATAAAATGCAAGTAAAATTCAACTTGGTTTCCCCATAAGCGAATGATTTCAGTCACATGTAAACAGCCGATACGATATCCGCCATGTTTTTGAATGCTCACGGGGACGTATTATTGATCGGATAGGTCAAGTCGCTAATTAACCAATCAAAATGCTGGATGGTGCCCACGTGTCTAAATTACATAGCTCATTTAAATATGTTAATGACAGTTCAGCGACCTCATGGTGAACACGGAAGAGATTTACCGATAATCTTTTGCCTTTGATTTCCATGGGAAAATGGCATGATTTTTTTTTTAATCAAGAAATTATTTGTTTTCGAAAGATAAATTATTCTTCAATGCTCAGTTTAACACTTTTACGGTGATAAAAGCTCATTGTCTAAAACTTATGAAACACAGACGTATTCAGAAAGAGTATTGACAGAGATCGCCGCCAGAACAAAAGCAGTTTCATTGCCTGTCTGACATCTTATCACCGCTGAACAATAAATAGGTGTGAATATTTTTAGCCATGTTGTCGAAACAAATGAATAGGATTAGGAACAATGCCGTTTTGGAACAGCTGGTTGAAACAATGAAGTCAGTCACGGCCTTGTTGAATTGGGGGTGCGGTTAGTAATAGGTACTTTTCAAGTTTTCAATTTTTGTTAAGAACTCTTTAACCCCGAAGCCGGAATTGGGGGTGCGGTTACTATTACGTATGCGGTTTATATTAGGACTTTAACAGTACAATAATTGCGAGAAAACATGCTTTGAATCAAAACAAGAAGGAAATGACATGCTTGTTCAATAAATGTTTGCAGAATATGTTATTTGAAGTTGAAAGTCTAAAAGAGCAGCCTGCTGCCAATGTATGTAATTAAATTTGAGCATCAAACTTTAGCCTTCTTTTACAAAATAAACCATCTGATAATTCTAACCGAATGTTATTCAAAGCGAAACATGGTATACAATCATATTCCCAGTTTTTGTTTAACTGACCTGTTGACTGGAGAGCTTTCATGGTTTCCCACAGCAGGGTACACTTTAACACCTGGGAAGTACTTCAGCAACATATCTGTGATCTCCTTCAGAACTTCCAGCTGGTCGCTTCTGGACTGGTTCCAGATATTATGTGCCGGGAGGTCCCCAGTCATGATGATGTAATCAAACTGAATGATGACAATGAAATGATGCAATGAGCAATTAAATACAGATTTTTTAATAAATAAAGAAGAAACAAATACATTAGAAAACTTTATTGTCAGTTGTAATTTATTTTTGCTATTATAACGAAAACTAGAAAACTAAATCAGTTTACTAGTAAATAATGTTTTCCTCCGGTCTACACATTATTTCTGCGAAATCAGTAGAATGGATCGGATTAATGAAAAGTACGACTACAAATGAAAATGCCCAAAGACGCATATTTTCCTTCAAAGCCTGAAGGCAAAAAACAAAAATATTTCAACAGCTTTTCTTTTCTATGCTATATAATCTCCAAAGCTCTAATTCAGGAAATTGTTAAGCCTACCTTTTCATTTTTGCTTAGATGTTGAAAAGCATTCTCTATTAGACTTCTTGGTGCGTCACAATTGTTGTAATCACCATATTTTCCAGCTCCAGGTTTTGAAGGGGCTGTAGGAACAAGAATAAAATCATGAATGAAATGTGAGACAGAATAATTAAAATATTGTTAAAAAATATGTTGCAGTGCAAAATATATGTTTTATGTTCATATTGCAGTACATAAGTTATGTTTTAAATGTATGTTTCTATGCATAAAGTATATTTAATTTAATATTCTATATAGCCATTTATAAAGTATGTTTTATGTTCATTTTGCAGTACATAAGTTATGTTTTAAATGTATGTTTCTATGCATAAAGTATATTTAATTTAATATTCTATATAGCCATGTATAAAGTATGTTTCATGTTCATTTTGCAGTACATAAGTTATGTTTTAAATGTATGTTTCTATGCATAAAGTATATTTAATTTAATATTCTATATAGCCATGTATAAAGTATGTTTTATGTTCATGTTGCAGTACATAAGTTATGTTTTAAATGTATGTTTCTATGCATAAAGTATTTTTAATATTCTATATGGCCATGTATAATGTTTTATGTTCATGTTGCAGTACATAAGTTATGTTTTAAATGTATGTTTCTATGCATAAAGTATATTTAATTTAATATTCTATATAGCCATGTATAAAGTATGTTTTATGTTCATGTTGCAGTACATAAGTTATGTTTTAAATGTATGTTTCTATGCATAACGTATATTTAATATTCTATATAGCCATATAAAGTATGTTTTATGTTCATTTTGCAGTACATAAGTTATGTTTTAAATGTATGTTTCTATACATAAAGTATATTTAATACTCTATATAGCCATGTATAAAGTATGTTTTATGTTCATTTTGCAGTACATAAGTTATGTTTTAAATGTATGTTTCTATACATAAAGTATATTTAATATTCTATATGGCCATGTATAAAGTATGTTTTATGTTCATGTTGCAGTACATAAGTTATGTTTTAAATGTATGTTTCTATGCATAACGTATATTTAATATTCTATATAGCCATATAAAGTATGTTTTATGTTCATTTTGCAGTACATAAGTTATGTTTTAAATGTATGTTTCTATACATAAAGTATATTTAATACTCTATATAGCCATGTATAAAGTATGTTTTATGTTCATTTTGCAGTACATAAGTTATGTTTTAAATGTATGTTTCTATACATAAAGTATATTTAATATTCTATATGGCCATGTATAATGTTTTATGTTCATTTTGCAGTACATGAGTTATGTTTTAAATGTATGTTTCTATACATAAAGTATATTTAATATTCTATATAGCCATGTATAAAGTATGTTTTATGTTCATTTTGCAGTACATAAGTTATGTTTTAAATGTATGTTTCTATACATAAAGTATATTTAATATTCTATATAGCCATGTATAAAGTATGTTTTATGTTCATTTTGCAAGGACTCAAATATGTTTACACTCATAGTGGATTTGTAAAAAGCTATAGCAGCACATGTTTCAAAATACAAGAAACAATGCATAATGACAATAAAGGCACTAATCACAAAAATAAACTTCGTACCTACAGACAGCTGAAAACTGATTTTGCACTTGAAAAATACCTTGAAATTATTAAAAACCCCATCCACAGATCATCTATGACTAAACTGAGGATAAGTGCCCACATACTTCAGATTGAAGTTGGGCGATATCACAACATAGATGTCTTAAATAGAACATGCCCTGTCTGTGACTCCAATGAAATTGAAGATGAAGAACACTTCCTCTTCAATTGTAACCAGTACAAATTTGAAAGAGATGCTTTGTTTGAAAACGTAAACTTATCCGGTAATCTGAAAGCACTTCTCAATAACAAAAATTCTGAAACCGTCCAAGCAATTGCCAAGTTTATCAGCGACTGTTTCAATAAAAGAGAATTTCATGAAAAGCAATTTACCAGCTGCCTCAAAATAACACCAAAAAAATATTTATATAATAATATTTTCACAGTACATGTATTACTATTTATTTCTTTTTTATTATTATTATTACTTATGTATTTTATTGTTCCTTATATCCTTATTGTATTCTAATCTAGATCCCAGAAGGGATACGATATCAATAAAGGTTGTTATTATTATTACAAGGTAAACTATATCACCAACATTGATGCCGTACAAGATATTAAAGTCACATTCTGTTAGTTTACATTGGACATACAAAATGTTTTTGATTGTCATCGCAGGCTATAATCTCTCATTAAATTATTACTGCAAACAGGAAAATGATAAAAATAAGGTTATCCGAGAATAGTGCAAAATTATGCACTAAGTCTAGGTCTGTTGATACAATCACTCATCTGCAGTATTCTCATAATAATCTTGTATTGTTGTACAAAAGATCACCTTGAGAGTGACCTTTAAAAGTTGTGTTCAGAGTACACTCTAACCCAAGACCGTTTGCATGTCAGGTAGACCCAGTTACATTCACAGATGGGAGAGACAACTATTTAGGTGCCCTAAACATACAAGTTGCTAATCTTTTAACATTGATTTCATGTTTTATTAGAATGGGCTAATAATGATAATAATAATTTTTAATATAGTCGTAAAGAAATTACAATTCTTCTTTGTTTTGTAAATATTTTTTTTATGTTGATATGGTGTGAATAGTTAATTGACCTTCCTGTCTGCGCTAGAGATCTGTACCTGAATATCATGTCTAAAGTGCATTGACCCTTGTCAATTTCTGTTCTAGAGTTGCATTGGCACACTTCTCATAGACTTTGGTAAAAAGCTACTGAAGATAATAAACTGTTTGAGACTAACATAAATTCTTCTAGAAAAGGTCATTGCACTTTTACTACAATGTTCATCACTGGATGAATGTTAAACTTTGATCAGGTTAAGGCGTCTTACATGTAATTACTGTAAAATACTTTATTTTGGCTGGAATTAATTTTCACTGATTTTTTAGGAGTTGAATGTGAAATATAGGAAAAAAGGTATATTTACTGGGTTTTATTTTCACTGAATATCCCTTCAGCGAAAATAGCGAAAATAAATTCCAAGTGGAAATTAAGTATTTTACAGTGAGTTATATTTCAAAATTGCCAATTTAGTTTTCATTTGTTTACATACAATATACAACATTCTATTTTAATCAATTCAATGTAAGTATTAATAACTGAGAACGATTCAGAAAATCAAACACATTAATTTCAAATTTTGCATATCCATTGTATTTTACACTAGTTGTATGCTTCGCATGGGACCACAAATAACACATCACAAGAACCAATGAATACCATTATTTGTACGCATCTGAATTGCTTCCCATCCTGATTTTAATCAAGTAATTAATTATTACTGCAATATTGAAATGTTTTTGTAAAAATTAAAAAAAAAATATTCTGTGTTAAATTAACAATAACGATTAATGTTCCACAGGCTTAAAATTATCATGGATGTTATCATTGCAAGTCATAAGTCAAAAATTTACATGAATGTGAACTTGAACTACTGGTGTATTTTAATTTGTCCTTTATGCGTTTGCTGGCGGGTGGGGGTGGGGGGAGGGGGATTAAGAATGTGCACATATATTGAAACTAATGTATTTATTTAAAAAAAATAAATAAAAGTCAATTTAGTTTTCACAAGGCAATACACACAGGAGTGTATGTTTCACTTTCCATAGCTGAAAATAGAGCATTTAAAGCGAGAGGGTCGTCCTCCCAAGCGACGATAACAACACACACTAAAAACGCACAGGCTCGTGGTTAGATGCTTGTTTGTAAACAATGACACGCTATGGCCATCTGATGCATGCACAGGTGACAACTACCCGGCTTTAGTATGCAATGTAGTTGATAGTATTTCTGAAAATTTGGCTGTGTACATACCAGGAGGCCCATCATTGGATCGGCAACATAGAGGTTCGCCACATTCTGTATTAGATCCAGTCATGTAGTCACGATCATAATGAATATCGGCTAGGTGCAGAACTCTGGATATTGGCGCTCCCTTCTGAATAATAAATAATAATTGCAAAATTAATTAATTAATAATACGATATAAAATGTACAATATCAGACATCTTCATTTGTTTTATTTATTTTTATGCAGCTTGACATCCATTTTAAATTGCTCAATTTATGTGCCGAAGCTTGGCAACAAAGTGTCTTATTTACATTAATTTGTGTGAACAGCTAAACTTGAGCGTCATGTTGAAAGAATACATGACATTTTTTACTGTAAACGTTTTTTTCAGTTGGGCCTGATTTTATTTTTTTTATTTTTGAGCAACAATTCCAGTCATAGAATATCCCTGTGGAAGCTTTCAGATAGTGATGTGTTAATATACATAATATGTGTGCGCTGATAAATAATGCATTTTGCCATGAAAACCACATTCCATTTGTAGTCATTATTGTAACAGAGACATGCAGTGGACGATCCAGGATTTACCAATGAATGTGTCTCGTTATTCAAAGTTTGGACAAGCATTCTCATTTCTGGTACCTTCTTACAAATCTGAATACCACATAGTTGTAAGTGGCTGTATGCCTGGATCCACAACTGAATTTGTCAGTATCTTCATATGCTTTTCACTTTGTTTTATTTTATCTGTCGAGTTATGTCATCATTATCCTGGTATAACAAGGCCGAATAAAATAAATTCTGTGTTTCTGGTAACCCTGCCTAACATAACAATCTTTGGAGGGAGAAACATTATTCATTTCTATGCAAATTAGCTGAGGTCACCCCACCAATCTGATTGAGGCTAATCAAGACCTATGCATACATTTTTAGAAAATCAATTGACATGATTCTGTTTTCCTTGTTTTCTCTTGTCCTGGGAGTCTATTGTTATGCAAATAAATAAATGATTATTTACCTCAATGGTTCATTTTATTAATTATACATGAAAATTTAGAATGAGGTTTGCATACTTATTTCCAACATAACGTTATATTGATTAAAGCGAAGGAGTGGTCCCTTGTGCATGCGTTCTTTACAAACAAGCGTCAACCCATGAGCCTTTGCATATTTAGTGTGCGTTATCATCAACGCTTAGAACTCAATTCCCATGCATAAACAGATAATGACCCTTCCGCTTTAAGCTTTTACCTTGGGTGGTTTAGGTGGGATGATGGGAGGTTTTGGTGTAGCAGGAAGCGTAATATTCCAGAAGGTGGTTGGATTATATGGATGTCCACAGGAGGTGCCGATTAATGTCCCACATATTTCATCCGGAGTCAGTACAAGATTATCAGCGACATAGAAAAATTCGTCCTAGAAAAATGAACATAAGAAAATGTGTTTTAAAATCTGCTTTCTTAAAAGGAGAGATATTTTAGTAGAATGCTACTTTGAAATGATTTTAGCTAATATCTAGCAGTACCAATTTAAGATAGAGATGCAGTTTACCTGTCAGATATTTTAATTAGTTAATTAGGAAACCAAGATGACCTCCTTGTCCACAAAACTATATATTTTCGGAAAGCTTATTGTATGAATTTTAAAATGTTTTTAGTATTTTTTTTATGGACACTGTAGTTTGAAATATGCACAAAAATGTGCTTTTTTGGTCAAAAGTGATTTTATAAAAACCCAGGCTAGTAGTCTGTATGATAGTTGTAACACTGTTAAACCAATAACAATTTGCCTCGACAGCATTTTGAAGATAAACACATTGTCAATCATTTGTGAAAATTTCAAAACAAAAGGTCAAAGTGTCTAGGAGCTATTTTCTGGGATGTGCACTAAAAAGAAGCTGAGATAATTGCTAATTTGCATAACAATTCACTCAGTAAGAAGTTTGCTAATGCTCATAATTGAAATGGCTGTAACAGTTCCAAATTGAAATGTATTATCGTTTTGTTAAAAGTTAAATATAGTGCATAGTATGGAGATCCCGTCATTTCTTTTTTTCACCATGTTTATTTTTTATTAGTTATGTACAGCTTGCTAAATCTTGCTAAGCATTCAAAGGAGAGAATGTTTGCACCTGTTATCTATATTTTAAAATCGTTTTTTGAGTATGTTCTACTATTCACAATTCTACAAAATTTTAACAGTCTATAGCCAAGACTGTTTGGATAATAAAAAGCAAAAAAAAAATGTCACTCCCAAGTGCCCACGAACCTGCATCTCTACTTTAATAAAATAAAACTGTTTCAGTATCAGTCATCATTAGACTAAATTGTTCATTGTAAAACTGTTTAATTAACACATAACAAGACACACAGAGTGATGCAAGCATGGTAAACATTCAACAAATGAATCAGTCATTCCCCCAAACCACAGTAGCAATACATGTACATGTCAATGGTCACTGTAGGAGTTTCCTGTGGTTTTCAAAATGGCTTTCACTGTATAACACAAGGCCTACTGACAACTGATTGTCTAAATGAGAGCAGTCTTTGATGTATCTATCTCTGTTATGAACAGACTCCCACATAGAAGAAACTGAAGCTATAAGCCACTGTACAACTTCATGCTAGAGCAATATTGTTGTAGCAGGCCACAATAGCGCAGTTTGGTGAAATTTTTCGTACAAGACACTTG